TATGTAATACAGAGAGTGCCAAAAAAAGTATACACATTTTAAGAAAGGAAAAAACTGTATTAAAATTCTAACATTCAATATATACCAACAACAAAATATGAATACAAGTCATGTGTATAGTTTTTTGGCACCCCAGTAGAAGTATGTTCTAGGTAGAAGGGTGTTACCAAATGAGGTAATCAACGGTCACTGCTGCAAAGAACCAGTGAAGGGAGGGCCCTGTGTTACAATCCATCTTTGTAGCCTAATTTCCTAAATACAGTGTTTAGCATATAAACTACAATTAACTCTAGGTTAGGTAGCAATAAACCACATTTTCCAGATTAGACACTTGAAACTCACTAAGGTTAATTTAATTATTTGCCCAAGGCCACAAAGATAGAAAAGACATAGCCAGAACTGGAATCCAAGTCTTTTACCTTCACATCAGATCCTCACTTGAATAGTGCTGTCCACTAAGCAAAGAACACATAGTAGTAGGCAGCTTTTTTACTCTAGGCCATTAGAATGACTTTTTAAATAAAAAAAAACTGACTATAACCAATAGCTTCTGTACACTCAACACAAAGGGTAAGTCTGAATAATAAACAAGTTCATTTTTCTTCCGGCCACTCAAGTGTACTGAAACTACAAAAATCGCAACCAAAATCTAAAAGGCCTCAGAGATAAACCATTAAGCAGACAGGTCAGTCTAGGAAAAACTTCTTTTGCCAATAACCTGAAACTATCAATAAGTGAGGATGTTAGACTTAAAGAACAGCGTTTTTAAAAATTAAATTTACTGGGGTAACATTAGCTAATAACATTATATAAGTTTCAGGTGTACGTACAAGGTAACAGCATTTTTTTAAATCCAGGAAATTAGCCTAGTTAAATTTTACTTAAATCAAAATCAGGAGCCTGGGTCAGTATCAGTATATTTTTCTATTTACCACAAATGAACAGCAAGCACCCAAAATGTACATAATAAACTAGCAGACAAGGTAGAGACTGTCAAGAACAACTGCTAGGGGTTTAGGCCTTTGATAAATCTGTAACATAGCTATTTGAACTGTATACAGGCACTAGAAAAAAAATACACAAACATAAAGCTAACATTACATGTTAAGAACTACAAACACCAAGATTATGTATCAACCTACAAATTATACTTATTGTATAATATCCACGAAATTCTTATTCCTGTACTCAATCCAGGCACTCTGATGGCACAGTTGTCAGGAAGATGTGAAGAAGCTATGTTCACTAAACCAAACAGCATCTGTGGCATCTGCTGGGGCCAAGATCCTTTCCAAGCAGGAAGAATGGTTTCACAGTTACCAAGCCCAGGCTTGGTTTGGAGTGGAAAGGAAAACGGGTATTACAATATTTTCAGCCAGGTTTATGAGCCTACCTTCATGCAAAAGTGAGTGATATTAGATATTCTTTGCCCCCAGGAAGCCTATAATCCAGTCAGGGAAACAAAAGCAACACGTATCAACAAATTTAGCACTATAATCCAAAAATGAAGCATATATAATCAAGATATAAAAGGAAAAGTTTTTAAGAAAGCGATTAGAAGGGGTGAGTTGAAATGAACCTAAAATGATTTAAATGAGCAAAAAGTGCCGGTCAGGCTGGCAGCTGCAAGAACTTGGGAAGATGAGAAGCAACAAGCAGGTTGGTTTTTCAACTTGAGTCCATCAAATTACCTCAGAAAATAGAGAAAAATAAAAGGGCAATTGTTATATTTGCTCAAAAAGAACCCCACCCCACCATTTAAATTTTTTTTAAAAAAGGAAAAAAACTCCTTAGATTCTGGGGAAAAAAAATATTAAGATTCAGAAATGTTCCTTAATTGTAGTCCCTGATAACCAGAAAGTCAATTTCTTAAGAGCCACAAACCAAGAACAGGTACATATTTTGTCAATAATAAAAATGTAAAGAAATTTGTCTAAAATTTCTCTAGAAGATTAACAAATTTATTCAGCAGACTGGCGAAAAAGCTATCTGGCACGTGATGAAAATTATTTTAAGAGATAGAAACTGGGCCCAAGTTTCACTACCAATTTAAAGCAATTTCAAATTATAAAGTGCTATAACTTCTTCAATCTACATTACATCAACACTCCCCCCAATCACCACCACTGGTAAGAAACTATATATATTTTTAATAATCTCAAAATACCTGATGTAATTTTTTCTGAAACTAGTAATATCTTCCAGTTATTTAGCGGTTTATAGTTTTTCACAGCCATTATATTCACTAGGTCTCACAACCACCCAATGAGGTGAGATAGATAGTGATGACCCACTCCCATTTTACAGATAAAATAACTGGAGATTCAATAGAATAAGTGAATAGCTCAAGGTCACACAGCTACTTACAGCTGGGGCGTGAATTCCGAAGCCAGTATCTGTCTCTTTGGTAGGATGAAATCTTTAAAATAGTCATAAAACCTTATCTAGATAACATAAATCCAGTAATCTTAAAAGTTAGAATGGAAAAGTACACATGAGTTCAAATTTGTTTTGCTAAAAATCACTGATTTTACCCTAGCCTAGCATACCCTTCATTTTTAAAATAGCATTTTAGTTTAGCACTTTCTGGAACTCTAACTGCCAAGTGTTCTACAATTTTTAGAAAGTAAATGAAAAACTAAAACAAAAAGCCTGTTCATGGACACAACCTAGAGAATAAATGTCAGCTGAGCAGATTTAAAAATCACTCAAACTCCTGAAAAACTGGGAGCAAATGGAAACAATGAAAATCTTAATTACAGGTCATCAATTCTTATGGATATTGGCACATTCATAAGAAGGCAGATTGTGGACAAAGCCCACAAACCCCAACCATGTTAATGTGCTCTCTTAAGCTTAAAATAAATAAAATGAAAACTCCCCAAACAAGCTACAAAAAAATGACATAAAAGCCACATTAATTCAATATCCCTGGGGCTGAACATGGAGCAAGGAATTTCAAAAAAATTAGGAATTGTGTTTACTCTAAAATTCACTTGGTACTGATCTCTTTGCACGATGTAAACATGAAAATGAGCCTCATTAACACCCCTTGCAATTTATTGTCTTTAAACCTCTGATAATTCCACTCCTCAACCCTGCTTCCCTTCTCCATACCCCTCCCCCCAACCCCCGTGTAAATGCGACACACAGAGGCCTCATATATAGGCCTCTTGCCTTTTTCTCTAACAACTAGGACCTTTGTTCCGAGCGTCGGTTTTTTACCCCACTCAATAGCTCTTTCAACTTTCTACCCCGTATTATTTGTTTGTTTTGTTTTTAGAGAGGAGATTCAGAGCCTCAACTTTCCGGGTCTTTAAAAAATGAAATGCCAAAAATATCTAAGAAGCCTGCAGACGACCAGAAAGTTAAAACACACCACTGAAGGGCCTACGAAACAGTCAAGCCCGGGGATCGGGTGATTTGGCAGCCCAGGCAAGATCGGGGAATGCCGACCAGGAAGGGAGACAGCAGAGGAGCAGTTAGACGTCCACTCCCAACAGATTCACCGCGCCACTAAACGTACTCCCCCACCCCCGCACACGAACGTTTACACACTAACACATTCCCTCCCCCAATTAACTAACGAAGCAATTAAACCATACCCGCCGCCAGACACGACGCTTACGCGAACCCTCCCCCTGACAAAATGCCATTATCTAAAACAAACAAATCTGTCTAAGGGTTTATTTAGAAGCAGCCCCCTTCCGTTCTCACCACACAAGAGCACCCAATTCCCTCCCGGCCCCCTGCAGGAGTTGAAACGTCTAAGTTATTCCCCCCCTGCCCCCGATTCACATGTGTTTTTAAATCTTCATTAATTTTTCCCCCTCTTAAAAAAAAATAGGCTTTCTCTTACTCTGAGGATGGGAGGGACACGGAGAACAAGATTTGGGATTTCACAACCTATGTTATTTGAACTCCCCTCTAACTTGTTTCTAAACTAGAAACCCACTCACTGTGGAGAAGAACAGAGGAGAGAGGGGGCACTGAACGGACAAACGTTATAATGGGTTTTATGTAATCCACATATAAATAAATTAATCGCCTGACTCGCTTTGAATGCTAATACGGTTGGAGCGACTGCTGGTCCCCTCCCTCCCAAGTCCGGGACCCTCTCCCCACAGTCTCCACTCTGATCTATTTCGGACGCCCCGCTCCTCAGTCAAGTTTCTCGGCCTCTTTTCATGTCCCCCTGCGAGCCAGCCTCGCCGTCGTCCTCCCGCAGCCTCAACTTCCCACGACTAAAAACTGCCCGGCGCGGACCTCGTCCCCGGCCTCGCCCGCCCTCAACCGTCCCCCCTGAAAGGAAACCCCTTACTGCGGTCTAAAGTCACTCCGGCCTCTCCCTCCTCTGACCCTCGCTTCCCACAACTGTTGTCACTCGAGCTGCTCCCTAGTTTCCATTTCCGGGCCGTCCCCGGCCCTAGAGCCTCCCCTCTCCCGGTTTCCGGGCCCCCCATCCCATTTCCGGGGAACCCTTGCCGTCTTCACACCCCACACCTGCACTTCCGGCCCCCCACTTTCTCCCTTCCTAGACGCCCTCCAAGCTCCAAAGCCCACTTCCGGCCCCCCCCAACACCCGCCGGGCTCCCTAAGACCCGCACGCCTTACCCGGGTTCCGTGAAGGGCCCTCCTCATTACGGAGAACCCGAAGGGGAACCCAGCGACCCCCTCGGCTCCCGCCCGGTCCTGGTCCCTCCGGCCGCGGTCTCCCTCGAGCGTCTCGCCCGTCAACCTCCAGCCCAGTCCTTCCGCGGCCCCACGGCCACCACCGGGAGCAG